GGCGGTGGAACCCAATGCAGGTGACTGAGACAGCCTCAGCTTCCTCAGTTGTCAATGTGGACGTAATTTAATATCGTTAAGGTATTGTAAACCTTAAATAATACATGTTTTAATAGACTCAGTATACTGCCAGACACCTGTGACTTCCACTAAGGGTGTGGCTCAGCTAGCAGAGTGCTTGCCTTATGTTCATGAAGCTGGGGTTAACTTCCCAGCACCCCTTAGCCAGTTTGGGCACACGCCTTTGATCCCATCGCTCAGGAGGCAGAGGCAGAATCTTTCTGAGTTTGAGGCCAGCCAGATCTAAAAACAGAGTTCCAGGACAGCCAGGGCCGTTACACAAAGAAATTCTGTATTAAAAAAAAAAAAAAAAAAAAATTTCCCAGGACCCCATAAAACCAGTTATGGTGGCCCAGAGTGACTCATGGTAACAATCCTAGCACTTGGGAAGTGGAGAAAAAACAGAGGTAATTATCAGGAGGAGGAGAGCAAGTTCAAGATCAGCAGAGATGCATGGGACTACAGATTTCTAAGAACTGCAAAACAACAACAGCAAAAACATGTCAGCCCACTCAACTTTTTTGTTTTAAGACAAGGTCTGTGCTGTCGACTTGACAGAATCTAGAATTGTCTGGGAGCCTCTGGCCTTGACTGCAGTCCCTGAGATGGGACAGTCTGCCCACTGTGGGCAGCAGCATTGCTTGGCCGGGACCTTGGTCTACAGACATGGAGAGAGGGACCTGAGGAGCAGCACAGACCCCTCTCTGCTTTCTGACCGGATGTGACAGCTGCTCCATGCTCCTGCTGCCGTGACTGTCTCTGTGGTCTGTGTTATGAGCCAGGCGTGACAACAAATCCTTTCCTGAGGACATCTTATCACAGCAATCCGAAAAGCCACTGAGACAAGATCTTACTGTTCATGAACCCCAGGCTGGCCCTACACTCACGTCGCTTGTGCCCACACCTACCTAGTGCACCACCTCACTCAGCTTTCATCCAGTTTTAATGAAAGAACAAGTCCCCTACCCCTCCAGCTGCCTGTGAAATGTTTTTTCCTCTGCTTAGACTCACGGGTTCACCAGCATATGTCAACACCAGTGGTGGTAATTTCCCCTCTCTCGTTCCAATCATTCCAATAATAAGAAATAGAACCCACTAATCTAGGCTTTGTTTTTATTTTTCCAAACTAGAGTAGCAAGTGTCTCCTCACTCAGTGGCTTCTAAAGTTCTTTACTCTGCCCTATTTCAGCTGGCACTCAGACTGAGCCCTGTTGGCTTGTAAGCTTGAAAACTCACTGGGTGCAATCATCAGAAAATGTCCTAAATAATGAACCACCCTTTGGCTTCCTAAGTCACAGAATCATTACTATGTAGCCAAACAAAAACTAGTCTTTCCAAGCCGAAGACCTGACAGAACAGGAAAACCATGTGAACCATCAGTGTGTCGACTGTTTCCTTGAAGCATTAACTTGCTGTATGGTAGCAGTTTAAAGAGCTTGTTCTGGTTTCTTCACCACCTTCCTATAGCCCAAGGTGTGTCTCAGCCTGCCCTGCTGCCATAACAGACTGCCAGGACTGGCTGCTTCAAAGCACCAGAGGCTGATTTTTCACAGTTGCCGAGACTGATGAGAGCCTGCTTCCTGGTGTTTAGACAGCCAGTTTCTCACTATTTCTCACCAGGCATAAGGAGGAAGGTAACTCTCGGAGGCCTCTTTTATAAAGCACTGGTCCCATTCAGGACTCTGGCCCCCTGACCTAAAGGCCTCCCAAGACCCTCCTTCCAAACACCATCACATCCCAGCTCCCATAGACATCATCTCTGTCCACAGGTTTTATAATTAAGGAGATAACAAGGTGCTGATTGGATGAATTAATAATGCAAGGCAGAAGGTATATTTCCAATTCAGCATTTTCACAAAATGCCCATTTTCCTAATTTATAATATATGCATCACACTTTTGAAAGCCCTGTAGAACCACAGCCTAGAATAATGCCCCTACTGTGCATAACACATACACATCCCAAAGGTATGTGGAGAAGCCATGGAAAAGCACAGTCGAGCACCCAGCAAGCAAAACTGATACCCAAGGTCAGAAAAGGTGAGACTTCACAAGACAACTCCCCACAGCGGCGCTGCACTAGGTCGTATCTTGTATGAGCTCCGGCCTCTTCACCAGGCAGACAGTGACGGGTGACTGACACTGACAGGTGAGCATTTGAAAACATCCAGGTGTGCGTTGATGGCCAGCTAGAGGTAAGAAATGTTCAAACGGCCTCCTTTGTTATCTCCGTTCTCACCACCCCTTTAATCTATACTGCCATCTCCGTAATTATCTGTGTTTTGAATTAAGATGGTCAGAAGTGGGCACTGCTTAAACGGAGGAATAAATCACAGGGCGAAGAACTTCCCATTGGAGGACAGAGCCTTCAGGAATCAAGCCACACAGGTCAGGATAGGGAAGGGCAGGTCACATTTTGTTCTGAGGAGGCTTCATCCTGGTGTTGTACCGTTTATATACGTTGCCAGACTTCTGAAAACACCCTCTATGTGACTTCTGGAGAGCTGTGTGCTCAGCATTACCTAACTTCTTCATAAACCTCTTGCTTTTTAATCAGCTAAGTGGCTCTCTGGTGAATTTCTCCCATTTATTGATATATTATATTGTGAGGGCTGAAGCTGTGCCCAGAAACTAAGTAATTCAGCACGGATGAGATGGCACATCCCCATAATTATGATGGAGAACAGAATCGTGCCTGGGCATACAGAAGACCTTAAGGAGACAGATGTTTACATTAAAGCTTCCTTAAATGGCAGGCTCTGGTGCTGCAGAAAAAAAAAAAAAAATTTTAAATGACATTCCCACGTCAGGATTTTCTACAGAAACCCTCCCAGCAGCTCTCATGTGGTGGCTGGCTCAGCATCTCCTCAGGACAAAATCTTCTCCCTTATTGCTTACAGACTGAGGCCTAGATGCCAGCTACAGGTTAAAAAACTGGATTCCACTTGCACCTTAGCTGTCAATCTCCATGTGAGTGAAATGTCCCAGCTCTTCCAAGAGCCCAACTCCACAGCTGTTAACTGGGGACAACCCCTGCTCAGCACAGTCCTGATAATATGCTCTTTAGAACAAACACCCAGTGGGTTAAGGTACTGTACCCTCTTAATCCCAGCTGATGGGGTGCAGAAGCTAGTATGTCGAAAGAATGTCTGTGTACTGTATGGATGTAGCAACTGTCCATAACAAATCTGACGGCCTCTAGCTTAAGCAGGAAACGGGAGGTGGAACATCAGAGAGGCGGAAAGAATTCTGGGAGAGAGCCAGGCGTGAAAGCTTCGGCCAGCAAGATGTGGAGGAAGGGCACGTGGTACCCAAGCCCAGGTAACCAGCCACGTGGCAGAATGTAGATTAGTAAAACAGGTTAAGAGCTAGTCAGAGAAGAGCCTACCCATATGGCCTAGGTATCTGTAAATAAGTATCTCGAGTCTCATGAGTCATTATTCCGGGATGAAAAAGCCACCCACAGCACAAGTGGATCTCTGTGAGTTAATGGCCAGCCATGGCTACACAGGGAGACCCTGTCCAAAACAAACTCCACCATGCTAGTGAAATGGCTCGGTGGGTCAAGTGTAAGCGTGGGACCTGTGTTGGGATTTGAAATTCCCACATAAAAGTTGGGCGTGGTCACAATCATCTGTAACCTCAGGTCTGGGAGACAGGGACAGACACATCCGTCCTGGGGCCAGAAATCTAGCTGTTCAAAGAGTCTGCTTCAAAATAGAGCATGGAAATCAGTACAGTTACAAGCCTGATGTCAACCTCTGACCTCTACTCACACACATGCAAACAGATTTGCACACAAATATATATTCACCTTCATGCCTCTCTCCCACAAATAAATAATTCATTTTAAAAATCCCTTAATGATACTGAAGCAATAAAAAATGACATAGCTTGCTATCAGAGATAGCCCTGGAGCCACCACAATTGTTAAAGTGCCCAGACACCCTAGTATCAAGGGAGAAATGTTACCTGCTCATCCAAATACAGTAATAATGGCATCAGCAAAGTGCCTTCCTAAATTGTGGCCATAGCTAGTTACACAGTTTGTCCACACTGGGGCCAACGAGCAACTCCTTCGTACTGCTCACTAGGTGTTGGGGTTTGAACAGGGTCTGCAGTGGTGGTGTTTTGGGAGGTTCTTGAACCTTTGGGATCGTGGCATTGATGGGAGGTAAAAAGCAAAAGCCCACTGAAAAGTTAGTGGAAATAACCTGTGGAGGAGAGACATACGTCACTCAGACGTGTTTAACGCTCACTGTAGTCACTGGGAACTATAAACCGTTGGCTGCTGCGAAGAACTGTCCACTCAGTCCCGGCGCAGCCCTCAGGCGGGCATGTCCACCGTGCCTCACAGGACATCTGGCTCTGAAAGGCTGTGTGTGAAGTTGTGAACATACCAAGCTATTTAATATCCACGAGGGAGAGCCAGCATGATGCTGCACAGCTGGAATCCCAGCACCCAGGTGGCTGAGGCAGGAGGGTCAGAGGTTCAAAACCAGCCTGGGCCGCACAGTAAGACAGCCTCGCAAAAGCAGGAGCTGAGAGGATGGCTCAGTGGGTAAGGTGCTTGCTGCACAAGTGTGAGGAGCTGAGTTCAAATCCCCACAACCTATGTAAAGCCAGGCAATGGAATGGGATTGTGTGATCCCAGTGTTAACTGGGAAGAGACTGAAGACCTTACAGCTTGTAGGTCAGCTATCCTGGTGTATATGCTTCTGGGGACAGGAAAGAAACTGACTCAAACAAGGCAGAACATAAGAGCTGAGGCTACCCTCTGACCTCCATCTGAGAGCCGTGGCACATTCATGCCACACCCACACACGCACACACACCCACACACGCAGACACACACACACACACACGATGAAACAGGATACAAACACACAGGTACAGCTCCCCAAGGGAAACACACTAATCTCAGACAGACAGTGCCATTCTACTCCCATGAGCTTAAAGTCTTTTAATAATATGAACACTTATCCCAAACTTTTTTTTTATACTTATACAAAAAACTTTACACAGAGTTTTCTGAAGGTGGCACCCTGCTGACATTATGCTGAGGCTGCATGTTGACACTGGACTGAGGAATTGTCAGAGGCCGTGGAGCATTGTAAACCTGTGGGAAGAAGGCAGACACTGTCCCCTCACAATCAGGCTTTCGGGACTGCAGCCCACTCTTCCCTGTGAAACCATTAGCACTGGCTTTTCATTTTAATGATAACACATTTTTTTCCAAGCAGAGGCAGCAACCAAGTTCTCAAGCTCTTATCTCGCTATGAAAGCTGGTGGCAGGTGAATTTTCTAAACTGCCAGATGAGGACAATGGGAATGAATATTCCTAAGTACCGGAGTCACTTTTAAAAGGGTAACATGAGTGGATTTACTTGGAGAACTCTCAGAGTGTGGGGCTGATCATGAGGGATGCTCAGTGTAACAGCCGTTGAGAGCCATTTGCTCTGGAACTCAGGACTCAGGAGCAAATGTGGCTAGTGAGGAGCAAGGGGACACACAGATTTGTTCTAAAAGATCAGAGACCATAACTGGGAGAGGACCCCTAGACCCCTGGACTCATTAGCTGCTTTCAAAGCAGGCACATTTTATTTGGGGTCCTCAGGTGCTGCCATCACATGCCATCAGGGACCAGGCGTCCTGGCTGTCTAAATTCCATAAGGCCCATGGATAGTGACTGTCCCAGCAGAACAAAAACTTGAAGCATCCAACAGAGGAATCTTATTGCACAACCATCGCAGACTGTCCCAACTCCTAACTACCTATACAGGCCTGAGGTCAGGTACTTCCCTTCCTACATGTGTCCCTGAAACCCCAGCAAGAGGGCCTTGCACATGTCTCTCTGACACTGACAGGCACTGGTACTAAACACACAGAAACACTCCCCTTGGGCTCTGCTCTCTATTAGTACTTCTAGCTCAGAACCATTGGTCAGTGTCCCTTCCTAAGATCTAACCACGGATGCAGTCCAGTGTGAGTGTTCGCTCTGAGGCCGATGGCCCCTCACATACGCCCTTGGCAGTGGCGGCTCTGCTCTCTCCTGGTGTCGCCCCGGAGTCTGTGGCTTGTCCAGCTACAAGCCTGCAGAGTGGGTCTCTGGGAGGCCGCTCTCTTCCAGCTTCAGTCCCAAGTTGTCGATCCCGATGCTGGTGACAGGGGGCACGCTGCTTTCTGCTGGCTCTGCCGTGCGCGTTGGGGTGGAACAGTACAAGATGAAGCCTACCATGATGACTGTGAATGACAGGATGTAGAGCCCTGAAAACTGCGAGGAGAAGACAGGCAGTCAGACGTACTCCCTCACACAAGCAAGGTGCTGTGGCCTGCTGCCAGCTGTTGTTTGGAGATCTACCTTCACAGTCTCTTTCTGGGAGTTGTCAGAGACGCCAACAGCACACCCCTCCACTATACACTGGTAAATACTGGGCTCAGACAACAGCACCAGTCTTGACAGTTAACTGGATCCTTGGACCTTGTTTGTTTGTTTGTTTGTGGCAGGGTCTCACGTAGCCCAGGCAGACCTCAAACTCACTGGGTCGTCAAGGCTGACCTTGAATGTGTGGTGCTCTTATTTCCACCTCCCAGGAGCTGGGACTACAGCCGTGGGGCACCACAGCTGGTTCATACAGTGGTGGGAATGTAAACCTTCATTCACACTAGGCCAGGACAGGACCAACTGAACTGCATCCCTGACAGATCCATCGGGAGGAACCTCTTTGTCTCTCTCCATGGTGGTCCACTTATTGGACACCATCAAAAAGGCAGTCTCACAAAATACAACAATTCTTTGACCAAGATGCACGCCACAAGAGAGCAGCTTACCGTAGTGGTAGTTAGCCAACGTGAGGCCATTTGCTTAGGATCTTCTCTGTCCACCTTATTCTGATGAATTTCATCCTGATAAACTTAACAAACTTTCCCATATCCCCCCTCTAGAAGGACCAATATGGAGGGGGCCCAAGCTGACAGAGCCATGCTGACACAAGGATGGAGGGAGTCTTTGGTCCCTAACCTGCGGGCTCTTTCTTTTCTCCTCATCTTTATTTGCTGTATATGTGTGTTTTGCATGCATGTATTCTGTGCAAGGCCTGCATGGGCCAGAAGAGGGCACTGAAACCCCCAGAAATGTAGGTGCAGCCAGTTGTGAGCCACCGTGGGTGCTGGGAATTGAACCTGGGGCCTTTGTAAGAGCAGCCAGTACTCTTAACCACAGAATAATCTCTCCAGCTTCTTTAACCCATTCTTTCTAAAACTGAAAATGACCACCCAGGGTCTTCTGAAAGAGCAGCAAGTGCTCTCTAGTCCGTGTTTTATGTGTCTTTTTAATCTTGATACAGGGTCTTTCTATGTATCCAGGATGGTCTTGAACTCTCACACCTCCCCCCCACACACACACCTTTACCTCCCAAGAGCTGGATTGCTACAGAAAAAAACACCAGTCTACTCGGAATGTACTCCACAAATGGCATCCTGCTGTACCCCAAAAGTTAAAGTCAATTATATGGAATAATTTGAATATTTGCTAAGGACCCTTCAAAAATTCAAGTTAACCTCATTTATCTGTGTTTTCTTTTTTTCTCTCTCAGTTTCAGTTACCCACAATCTACAGGGATAGGCCAGAACAGAAAGACATTGTTTTGGTTTGGTTTAGGAGTGTTGGTGCTGTTGTTTTGAGACATGGTTGTGTGTAGTTTAGGCTGTCCCTAAACCCACTAAGTGCTGGGGTTATAGGCATAAAACATCACACTTAGCTGAATCTTAACCTTCCTAAGGCCTGGACAGCCTCCCCACGGCAGGGCAGTTTTCCCTGGATTAGGTGATGACATAAACCCAGTGTCAGCCTGGCCTGTAACACACACCTGTAATCCCAGCTCTTGGGAGGTAAAGGCAGGGGACCTGAGAGTTCCAGACCCTGTATCAAGATTAAATAGACACATAAAACATGGACTACAGGGCTGGCTCGGTAGTTAAGAGCACTTGCTGCTCTTTTAGAAGACCAGAACTTGGTTCCCAGCACCAGCTCAGACATCTTACAACACCTGTAACCAGCTCCAGGGCATCCAACATCCTCTTCTGACCTCAGGAACCCACACATCTGGCAAGTACACAAATGATGGGGACACACACACACAGACACACGCACACGAGAAGTTTAAAAATGAAATAAAATAACAACAAAAGCCAGCGATGATGTCAAGCCGAACAGCTGGCTCACTTTTTTGTATTCTTATGTCCAGTATTTAGCATGGTGTCCAGCACATCACTGGTCTCTAATGTTGGGAGGGTGAAAACAGTGACTCAGAAACCGTTAAAGAAAGTTAAAAGTTATTTAATGTGCCCGCCACCTTTTTCCACTTTAAGACTGGACCTCATTATGTTATTCAAGCTGATCTGGACCTTCTGGACTCAAGGGATCCTCCTGCCTCAGTTTCCCAAGTAGATGAAACTACAGGCTTAGCCAGTGCCATTGCACCCAGCTTAGTGAACTTCTAAAATCAGAGTTATGAAAGTTATTTCTGCTTTCTAGAAAGTGTTCACGTGACCAACCAATGGGAAAACCTATACAGTTTGTTCAAAATAGGTCCTGTTTGCCTTAGTGATTTTTCTAGTGTCCCAAGAACATAACTTCTAACTCTTGCTTCACGTCTTCAAAGTAGAGGCCTCCCAGCAGGCCTCTTAGCCTTTTCCCATTTCTAATGCTATCCCTTGTGTCTGGATCTGCATGGGAAATTTCTATAGAATACTTTATCCAACATATATCCACTCTGGATCAAGACTGGAGATGCTGAGTATTTAAGAGCTGAAACGGGATAAGTTGGGAAAAGAATTTAAGCCCTTTTTTAAAATGTTTGCTTGAAAAAAATCTGAGCCAAGTTATTCTAGAGATTACAGTTTTCTAAACTGGGGACTTACAAGAGTCTGTCTCCAGCAACTATACCTAGGAAACTGGGAAGAGGCTTGGAGGGTAAGAGGGCTGGCTATACAGACACAGGAGTTTAAGTTCAAATCCCCAGCATGCACAGCGGAACCTAGGTGTGACCAGTACGTCTGTAATCCCAGCACTGTGGGACAGTGGAGACCCCAGAGTTTCCTGATCTGTGAAAGGCCCTGTCTCCAGGAAATAAGGCACACAGCCCATGTCCTCTTCTGGCCTCTGCACGCACACCCATGCCCGCACACCTGCACGAACAACACCTAAAACTCTGAAGATCATGGTAGAACTGTCCTTTGCTCTCTGAGTCTTCAAAAGACCTTTGACCAAAAACAATAAAATGTGGTATCAAAGTGAGCTGCCAGACACGCAGGCACAAAGGATCATGAGCAAAGGAACTGAAAGGGTAGTCACAGAATGGCATTCTGGGAACAGCAGTGTTCTGTCATATGTCCAACACCAGGGCACATAAAAACACTTCACGTTAACGCTATGAGCAGTTTACAAGAAAGCATTTAAGATCTTAGGCTGAAATACTCAGGGTTTATGAAATGGAGTATAACAGGTAGTAACAAATGTACCTTGAACTGGAAGGTTTTATTTCTTTACTTTTATCTCCTCCTGGACATTACTTAAAGTAGAAAACAAAAAGTTAAATTACTAACAATAATATGGTTGGTTAAAAAAAAAAAAAAAAAAAGGAAAATGGGGCCAGGGAGAAGGCTCGGCAGGTAAGGGCACTGCAACTTCCGACCCTAACAACCTGAGTTCCATCCTCAAGACCACACGATGGCAAAAGAAAAACCGTTCCCGAAAGTTACTCCGTGACATCTTCAGCTATGCTGTGTCACACATGTGCACACACACAATTAATAAATGAAAGGTAATAGTGGTCTTTAAATACAGAGGAAACAGACAGACAGACAGGTGAGGGAGGTCACAGAGAGCCGAGCACCTGTGTCCCCTGGAAGGCCACGTGCCGCCTCAGCCCCCCCCAGACCACAACTCCGTCCCTTAAGGAGAGAAGTGGCTGCCCTTAACAAGTCTCAGAGACATGAATGCACAGACAGACATTTGTGCACACAGTAACAATTAGTGGAGGAAGAGGCCGAGGACTGAAGGAGAGAGGGAGGGTTGGAAGGGAGGAAAGGGAAGAGAGAAATGTTATAATTATAATCTCAAGAAGTAAAAAAACCAAGCAAAACTAAGCCTATCATATAAACTATTTCTCTGATTTCCTGTGATCTTTTTATATGACCCTGTCCATAACCAGTAAATACTTCCCCAGCATTAACCGAGAAAGCCCTTCATCAGCAAGTAATCAAGGACATCAGCTGGCTTCTGCCCGCACCACCTTGTGAGGTGAAAAGACATGAGCTGGCTTCTGCCCGCACCACCTTGTGAGGTGAAAAGACATGAGCTGGCTTCTGCCCGCACCACTGTGTGAGGTAAAAAGACATGAGCTGGCTTCTGCCCGCACCACCTTGTGAGGTGAAAAGCTTTGCGCTTGGTTCACAGACATTTCTGACAACCAAGTGAGCTTTGTGTGCCAATAATTCAGATAAGCATGTGAGTCATGGCTGTTAGCTCCTGGGAAGAGAAGAAACCAGCCCCAAGGCTCCCTGTTTAAGTGTCTGGAAGAGACCCAGGTGTGGCGGCACAAGACTGTAACACCACCACATAGAAAGTGAAGGCCAGAGCGTTCTGAGTTCAAGGCCATCCTCTTCTACATAGTGAGCTTGAGGCTAGCCCAGGCCATGTGAAACCTTACCTTAGGGGGAAAATGCCACTAAAGATGGCACTATTCTAACCACACATGCTTAATAACATGCCCGTCTCTCCTGCCCTTCCACCTGCTACTTCAGACTTTTTGTGTGTAAAGAGTAAAGACGCTCTGATCATCCAGCCTAAACTGGATTGTTTTTCAAGGTCAACAGCAGCCACTGGGGCTGCTTTAGCATCTCTTAAAGCAGGTGTTCTCAGCTATCTATGCATTGTAGAGGGATCTTAATTCAGAATATGGCTGCTCTGGCTCACAGATCACATCCAAAGGCCTTCTAGGTCTACATGATCTGGCTGGAATACAGACACACCTTTAATCCAGAAGACAGAGGCAAGCAGATCTGAGTTCAAGGCCAGCCAGAGCAAGTACCAAGTAAAGAAAAGCTTAGGTCCAGGTGTGGTGTTACACACCTTTAATCCCAAACAATGAAGGTAAAGTTACTTTGTAGAAGGAAGTACATGTTTGAAAGTGATTTCTAACTGAGTGGCAGAAACAGTGATGAATCAAAAAAAGACTTAACAGAATAGGATACGCCCAACTCTCTTGAGAAGAGAGAGGAAAGAAAAGCTACTTAAGGAGCAACACAGAGAATGAGAGAGAAACAGACAGAAAAAGAGACAAGTTGCAGAGAGAAAACTCAAGTGAAGACTGAGTGAGCTAGAGAATGAGGAGCCAGAGAATTAGCGCTGATTGCTAGAGTTAGTGTGAGGACAGGCAGATCAGTTCAGAGGCCCAGAGAAAGGCCAAATTGAACAAGTTAGCTAGGAGAGGAGTTTGAGCCAGAACGCTGAGCTGAACCAGCCAGCCCACCGCTCAGTAAAAACAAGTAAAGGTGGGCTTATTAAGCAGTAAGTCTCAGAGGCTGAAAACATTCTAGGACTAGGTTAGATTGTACGGAGGGCTAGAAGCTTCCAGGACTAGGCCTAGGTTAACAGACAGAGGCAGTAAGCCACCAACAACTAAACCAGGAAAATAAAAGTTACTTTTACAATACATCAAATATAAAACCTATTGCATTTTATCACTTTGAAAAGCCTAAGAACAATCCTTCTCCAGACCAATTTCTAAATAGCAGCAAAATGAGTGAATCCTACCCCCCCCCATGAGATTATTGCCAGGAGAACAAGAAAGTTTTATTTTAAGATCCAGAGTCTTAGAGAAACTTGTTTTAGCCAAGCATGGTGGCACACATCTTTAATCCCAGCACTCATGAGGCTGATGCAGGTGGATCTCTGGGTTAGAGGCCAGCCTGGTCTACATAGCTAGTTCAAGGACAGCCAGAGCTACACAGAGAAACCATGTCTCAAAAAACAAACATAAAAGACAAGAAAAGAAAGGAAGAACCTTATTTTAGAGTTGGGTGAATCTCAGATGGGAGAGTGCTTGCCTGTGGGACCCATCTTTGACAATGCATAAACCAAGCAGACAGAACAGGAGTTGAAGGTCACACTCAGCTACACAGTGAATCTCAGGCTAGCCTAGGATGCCTGAGACTCTATCTCAAATAAATGAATATGCTTGTCATAAGACCAAAGTATTTTCTTATTTGAACACAATCTACTTTCTTACCTTGTACCCAAACAGGAAAAGTCCAAAAAAAAGGCTGTAGAGGTCAGCCGTCAGGATGCCTAGGTTGACTGACGTGGCACTCGTGACTTTAATCACCAACGGCATGAAGCTGTACAGGCAAAACATACAGAGGGCAAATGCCACAAACAGCAGGGCTGTGAATAAGAAGAGACAGCAGAAGACAAGTGCTTAAGGTTGGAATGCCACAGAAAACCCCCTGATCCTTTGACAAACTCCCTGCAAAGCTCCTCTTTAACAGTCAGCATCCTAAAAAGACAGCTGTTTTATTCCACATCAAACACCCTCCCAAGACAAAAAGGGTGGCTGTGAGATAAAAGTTCAACAAAAGCCAGGTCAATATCACATGTCAAAAAACGAAATTCCTCACTGGCCTTGTTTGCTTTTATCTGATTGGTTGGTTGGGCGCGGTATGTATGACTGGATTCACAATAAAGTATTTTTAGGACATCAAAGATAGACATTAGATCCACCGTATTTAATTCAGCCCGTTGGAACTGCATGTTCCAGGACAGAACAATATTATTCTCCACTTTAGGACAGTGCTGACAATGCAGATGTTGACTGAAATAGCAATACATCTGTTTTGTAAGCACTTTCTTAACCAATGCTCAACACACACACACACACACACACACACACACACACACACGCACACACACGTACACACACAGAGCAAGAGAGAGAGAGAGAGCGCACAGTGTTGGGACATCTAAGACATTTCATTTCCCACACTATCTAATCACTGCATACAATCTTCAGCAACATTTATGTACTGTTTAAGTACTTCCTGCCCATCATTAAGGTTCAAATCTTTCCTAACTATCCTTTGTCTTTATTCTCACAAATGTCGAAGAAATCAGAGGAGCAACAGGACAGCAAGTGATTACACAACCACCCATCCATCCACTGAGGTTAATGCTTCACAAACTACACGAAGCCCGTGACAACCTTAAAAAGTTCAAGGACCTAAGATGTAGCTGTATCTGCTTGGCAGCTAACAATTCTCAGAGCGAGCCATCATCACTAGTATGAATTCCCAAAGATCTGGACATATGATTAAAATGAAGGATTCACTCCTTGGTGTGCATGTTTGTCAGTTAAGGGACAGAGTACTGACTTAAAAAGTCATCATTGAATTACATACCAATTTTCCAGTCCCATTGAATCTTGGCAATGTCCTTATATTCCACAATCAATCTAAGATCAAAACAAGAAGCTTGGTAAAGATCCACATGTTAACTTTTCTTATTTTATAGAAAGTTTAGAAGCTGTAATTTGGCTAAGGTAAAGAGTTAGGTTTAAAATTTTTTTTTCCTTAGGATATAAAAATATCAACTGGATGGTAGTGGTACATGCCTTTGACCCCCGCACTCAGGAGGCAGAAGCAGGTGGATCTCTATGAGTTCAAGACCAACCTGGTCTACAGAGAGAGAGTTCCAGGACATTCAAGACTACACAGTGAGACCTTATCTCGGGGGGGGGGGGGGGGGGATATAAATATCTAGACAGAGCCGCACATGGCAGTGCATGTCTGTAATCCCAGCCCTCGGGGAGGCAGAGGCAGGTGGATCTCTGTGAACTCAAAACCAGCCTGGTCTATAAAGCAAGTCCAGGACAGCTAGAGCTACACAAAGAAATCCTGTCTCGGGGAAAAAAAAAAAAAAAAAAAGAAAAAAAAACAAAAAAAAGAAAAAAATCTAGACAGGCATGTGGCTCATACTTAGAATCCCAAAACTCAGAAGGCTTAGGCAGGATTGCCATGAACCTGGGTAATGGTGCCTAGCCTAAGCTTCAGTGCAAAACCTTGCCTCAAAAACCAAACAAAATTTTTAAATAAGAATCTTCGATTAGATTTTATCAAGTTGTTGATTTCATATGTGATTTGGAGTTAAACAAATAGTAGTTAGAGAAATTAATTATCTATCAGATACTTTCTTATTGTTTTTAGAATTTTTATTATATGTGTATGAGTGTCTTGCCTGCATGTATGTTTGTATACTATGTGCTGTAGCCCTGGAGGTCAGAAGAGGAGGCTTGGTCCTCTGAAAATGGAGTTACAGTGGCTGTGAGCCATCATGTCAAAGTTGAGTACTTGAGCCAACTGTGGCCTCTGCCAAAGCAACAAGAGATCATAACTGCTGAGTCCTTTCTCTTGCCTCTACTTACTAATAAAAAAATTTTTAAAAAGCTTGCATGTTAAGTAATGATTTAATTTTGCCATTTTTAAATTATATTTTGGTGTGTGTGTGCATGCCACAGTGTACAGCTGGAAGGGAGAGGACAACTTGAAGGAATTTCTTCTCTCTACCATGTGGGTCGTGAACTCAGGTCATCAGCGTGGCAGCAAGCATCCCCACCTACTGAGGTATTTTGTTTGCCCTTTGTTCTGACATATTTCACATATATGTCATTATACTTTGTTATAATTCATTCCTGCTCCCTAACTTCCCTGCCCTCTGACACCTACTCCCATATTTGTTCATTTTGTTTTTATAAAAAAAAACTTTAGGGGCTGGAGAGATGACTCAGTGGCTAAGAGCACTGTCTGCTCTTCCTAAAGACCTGGGTTCAATCCCCAGCGCCCACATGGCAGCTCACAGCTGTCTGTAACTCCAGTTCCAAAGGATTTGACACCTTCACGCTAATGCACATTAAATAAATAAATAAATGTTTAAAAACTTTAGATTCTTACAGCTGTATGCCACTGATAATTGTTCCAAATAGGCCCACCATTCCTAAAAATTCCTGTCTGCTCAGCTTCTTCACGATGTATTCTTCACATACATTAGACACAGCATACAAGGAAGCCCCAAGAAGGACCAAGATGTCGCCAATCAGAACATCACTCCCTACGGACAGTAAGACACAAAAGAAATGTGTTGTCAGCAGCTAAGACAGGAGTTACCAAACTCTGTTCATTTGAATAAAACTTTATTTAATCCTAGTTTCTGTAAATTTAAAGTCTCCTGCCTGACATAACACTGTTGTGATTTTCACATTTTACTCCCTGGGAGTCCAACTGAAGGAAGGTACTGTATGCCATTAAAGACATGACAAATTCATAGGCTGTACTGTGCAGAAAGGAAGCATTAAAAGAAACAATGCACCGTCTAGATGTATAGGAAAGAATCTTTGGTAAAAGAAATGAGTTTATCTTGATCCAAGGAGATACTGAAGTTACTTTGGCGATCAGACAAATTCAGACCTGGTTCGGCATCTATATTGTCAACTGAAATACACCAACCAGGCAGTGGGGGTGCACACCTTTAATCCCAGCACTCTGTAGACAGAGGCAGACGGATCTCTGAGTTCGAGGTCAGCCAATCTACAGAGTTAGCTCCAGGATAGTCAGGGATATACAGAGAAACCCTGTCTTGGAAAAAAACAAAAAACAAAAAACAAACAAAAAAAAAAAAAACAGAAAAAGAAAAAGGAATATACCAAAGCACTCAAATCAACATAGTCATCAGAAAAAGTTTTCAGTCAAGTCTCTTTTACATAGACAGAAGAAGCACTCCCCGGTGGGGGAGGGCTAAGGAGGGAGGGATGATTTTGAGTTTTTGAGTTTAAGGATAAAAGGAAGGGAAAGAGAAAGGAGAGAAGAGAAAAGGAAAGGATGGAAGGAAAGAGAAAGAAAGAAAGAAAGAAAGAAAGAAAGAAAGAAAGAAAGAAAGAAAGGAAGGAAGGAAGGAAGGAAGGAAGGAAGGGAGGGAGGGAGGGAGGGAGGGAGGGAGGGAGGGAAGAGATGGGGAAAGAGAGAGAAGAAACAAAGAAGAAGGGAGCAAGAAAAAGAAACAGAGAAAGAATGACATAAAAGGGGAGAAAAAAGAGAGCTAGCTCAAGAATATAGGGTTTTGGAGTAACTAATCCAAAATGTTCTAAGCAAAAGATGACTTCTACTAATATATTTAAAATAAAAGTTTGAACGTGCCTAAGTGGGAAAATGCAGTTAAAGAGAAAAAAATAATAATCACCAAACCAAATATTTAGCAGCAAATGAGCAAAGTGCTCCAGGAAGTGCAGAGTGCTGCGGAAGCACAGCAGCACACCTCACTGAAGAGGGGCCAGCCTAGCAGGTGGGCACAAGCTCACTCAGCTTCAGCAGAGCCCTCCTATCACCCACTCTCCTTCAGTGTCATCTTGCCAAACTCACCTGGAAATGTGAGCAAACACACTTCTGCAGCTGAGCAAGTGACACAGTCTCACCTGAATTATCTTCTCTCCCTGCTAATATGTCTGCACCAACCATGGTCCCTACACCCAGCAGACAGACAAACACAGCAATGAAGTGGATCACTTTGTATCTTGCCCGGAGGATAAACCAGGAGAGAGCCATCAACACAGGAATCCCAAAGCAATCCAAGAGCTGTAGGGAAAGAAAAGCAAGCAGCGTCAAACATGTCAGCAGCTTGAAACAAAAAAGTCTGACTGAGTAGTGACAGGAGGAAGCACTCATGGAATGTTAATTATTGCCAGCCTTGCACACAAGTTCGAGATTGGGACTGCAAGTCCATTTTAGATGGGCACACAAAACCCCAAAAGCTAAAGAGAGATTATTTGCCCCAAATCATACGGCTAAAAGTCAGGCAGGATTTTCACACACCAGAGTCTCTGTTCAGAGGACCCAGGCTCCAGCTGAAGCTACCACACAAGAAAAATAAAGTGAATAAAGTCCATTAAAAAAAAAAAAAAAAAAAAAAGTCAGGCTGGGAGCCAGGCACAATGGCACACACCTGTAATCCCAGCACTCAGCAAGGGAGAGGCAGGTGGATCTCTGTGAGTTGGAGGCCAGCCTGGTCTACAAATGGAGTCCAAGACAGCCAAAGCTACACAGAGAAACTGTCTAAAAAAAAAAAAAAAAAAAAAAAAAGGCAGTCTGTAAAGCCAGTACTTTGGAGGTAGAGGCAGGAGGCTTAGGAGTTCAAGGAGTTCAAAGGTCACCTTTGGCTACAGAGCAAATTCTAGAGCAGTCTGGGATACATGAGACCTGCCTCAAAACAAACAAAGAGAGAGACTCAAGGGCTGAACCTATTCACCCTACCCGGGAAGCCTGGCATTGCACTGTGTTTATCTATACATCCGGGAGGCAGAGTCTCCTTCCAGCGCATCCATTCACACCGTCAACAGAAATGCATTAAGCATGTCCAGTGTCCGAAACTCTGTAACTGGGTTTGGGTATTCAGCTCAATGACAAAGCACTTGCCTGGCAAGCATGGAACCATGGGTCATACATCATAAGAGGAACTGGAAATACAGAATTGAGCAAGATAGGAGCCTTATCCTGAGGAGCGCACATTAGACTAGACAGACATGAAATCAGAAATCACAAAGTTCAGTGTTTAACTGTAACTGAACAAAGTGCTACCAAGTTCAGGTTACCATGAGGGAACAAGCAGACATCACCTCCCTGATAAAAAGCTCAGTTCTCCCATGTGAGACACATGCTTCGTCCCAGCGCAGATTCCTGTTCATCTTTAGCATATGTTCCTCCATCATTTTGGGTCTGTAAGATACTTGCCCATCTGATCAAATGGGACTAAAAGTATTCAAACTACAGCAAATTCAAAATGAAAGGCAAGATAAGAAAGAATAGAGAATTTACTTACTCAGTTCTTAATTTGACATTGTTGTGTGTATGTGAATTTAAAGGTTAAAATACATTGTAAAAAGACTTTCATTTGGGGAGTGGGCAGGAGTGGATGTGTAGGCCAGAAGAGCGTGTTGAGTCTCCCGGAGTTGAAGTTGCAGGCAATTATGAGCCACCTGATATGCATGCTGGAAACAACCTCTGTTAGTCGCAAGGGCCGCAAGCGCTCTTAACCGCAGAGCCGCCTCTGCAACCCCTGAAGGCTAGTTCCCGCTGCATCAAAGCATATTCAGGGCTAACATGTACATGTGTGCTATACAGTAATTAGATTCCTGAAACTTTTACTTCATTGCTCACTCTGTGAGGTTCCAAGTTTGTCACCGGTTTTTCTCTGTGTCTGTCAAGTCATGGACGAGACAGAGCCTTAATCCTCCAGCAACCGGTCCGATCACAGCTAAAACAGTTTATTGCTGGTTACCATGGCAATACCATCACTGGAGGCCAGCGTGCCATGTGTAGCCATGGGTCCTGACATGTCATTTACTCTTTAGTCTTCTAAAGCCTACTCTTGAGCCTTCCTGAAAACAACCCACCTACTCTGAAATGCCCTGGCTTCTTGTCTGACACCTGTCACCTTGGGCCATGAATCTACAGGAACTTCCTTTCTGAATGTCTCCTTGGAAATGGAGAATCTTCTTTCTTCTTCTTTCTTCTTCTTCCTTCTTCTTCCTTCTTCTTCCTTCTTCTTCCTTCTTCTTCTTCTTCTTCTTCTTCTTCTTCTTCTTCTTCTTCCTTCTTCCTTCTCCCTTCTTCTTCCTTCTTCTTCTTCTTATCCTCTTCTTCCTCCTCCTTCTCCTCCTTCTTCTCTCTTTGTATGCCTTAAGTTCACGCACATACACACAAACACACACACACACACACACTTTAAAACACCAAAATACATAAAACAAAATTTAATTTTAAAAAAATTAGAAGAGGGTCAAGGTGGGTGCAGCTTGGTGAGTGGAGTGTTTGCTGAGCAAGCATAAAGCAGTGGGTTCAATCCCTAGCTGATACTGCACAAAACAAATATGGCAGTGTATAGCTTCAGTCACAGCACTTGGGAGGCAGAAGCAGGAAGACCAGAAGTTCAGGATCATCCTCAGCTACAATAGAGGCCAACATTGAATACACAAGACCCTGTCTCAAAAAATATAAACATATATATAGAAACCAGGCAGAGTGCCTCCCACCTGTAATCCTAGCACGTGGGGGTAGGTAGTGGAAGTAGGTAGCTGTGGGGTTGTGAGTTCAGTACATACTGAGTACCAGGCTGTCCAGGGCTACACAGCAAGACCTTTTCTTTTTTTCTTTTTATACTGTAGTGCTTTAATACTGCACAACCAGCCTGGAACCCAACAATTTAGCAAGGCACAAGACCTTTTCTTGAGAAGCAAAAGAGTTACAGAATCATTAAACTCTGAAGTCTAAATCGGACGGTGGTGCCCCTTCTCACTCTCTCCTCCATTTACAGAGCATCTGGTTGTTAAGTCAAGGCAAGTCAGGACCGTGACACGCCCCACTGTCTGCCAACACCAAGACAACTGGACTCAGTCTGTCTCAAGTCAAAGTTGAGAAGTACTGCCATGACTATTCTCCCTTCGACCCAGAAAGAATAAACCCAGCAGTGGGCTGGGGAGATGGCTCAGTGGGTGAAGGTGCTTGCTGGGTAAGCTTGAAGGCCCACGTTCAATCCTCAGAACTCGTGTAAAGGTGGACAGAAAGGACTGATTCCACAGACTTGTCACCTGACCTCCACACACGCGCCAGGGTGCACTCACACACACACTAATAACAACTCTGAAGGTAAATCCAGAAGGAAATAGTGACAAGAGTCGAGCAGGCTCAGTCAGTGTGTCCCTGTTCCTGGTGGCTTGCAAGCTTCCACTTTGCAGTACAGAGCCACACTTACTTCCGGGCTTGAGTCAAATGCACATCAGAGCTCCTCTCAGCATCACGACAGCAGGTGACAGATCAATATTTACGCCTATTTTGCTCAGCACTGTCCACATCTGCCGTGGTATGAGAAGCCTCGAAAGTCACTAGCAGGTATACACTGTCAGTAATTTCAGAAAGCGTGACTCAGCAGAGCACGTGCTGGGCTGGAAAACACCTATCGTCCACCTGCGTTTAGGGCTTCTTCAGATGCAAGCTTCCCAACAAAATCAGATGAACATGTACGAGGACACGGTCTCCTCTGAGAAGCACAAACCCAGAATGCCCAGTCACTCCCTTACCTGGACACTGGTCAGAGTCGTGTACTGGTACGCTCGGACAATCAGGTAATTGGCCTCCACGTCAGCAAGCCCCAAGAGAGTGTACTTCCACCATTTTCTTCTCAGAATCTCCAGAAGGTTACTACTGCCTGGTTGAAGGAAAGATGGGTGGGCACGTTATTCATGACGGCACACGTCAATCTCTAGACCGGGAAGTCAAAACAAGGGTCTGGCGTATGTTTCCTATTGGCCAGCCCTAACTTTAGCTACCCAGAGGCCGGACATCTGAGCCACCACCACCAGGTCAGCCTGCGGCTGAAGACTATGCAACTGTGCAAGGGGGCGTCGGGAAGAGAGCTGGAGGAAGCAGCAGAGCACAGATGTAATATCCAGTGGCTTAGTTGGTAGTGTGATTGATGCAGCGTCCTGGGTCCCATCCCAGCACAATGGAGGTAGGAACAGGAGGACCAACAATTCAAGGTCATCCCTGGCTGCATTGGGAATGTAAGGCCAGCGTCGGGTACAAAAGACCCTGTCTATTTCGATAATAATAAATAATCTATCCTTCTGCGAGTATGACTGAAGCCATTTCTGGCAAGCCACAGGCAAATCTGGAAGAGAAAATGTTTTGACAAAGCAATTGGTTATTGAACTCCCTAGCATGAGTTTCTTTGAAGAAAAAGCGCCAAGGTCATTCTCTGTACTTGTTTCAATTAAAGTTCGATCCTGTGATGAGCTTTGGAAAAGCCTTAGTGGCGCCACTGACAGATGCTTTTTACTGTGGTGGCCACGCACCACGGTTCTGCTGCTTTAAATTAAATAGGACTTACTCGTCTCTGGATTCACAAGAGGTAAAAGAACTGGCTCGTGTGTCCGGGAGGCTTAGTGGTAAAATAATCAATGAAGAAATAGCGGGGCATAGTGGAACAAGCCTTTAATCCCAGCACTCAGTAGGCAGAGGAGGGCAAATCTCTATGAGTTCAAAGCCAGCTTGGTCTACACAAAGGAGCTCCAAACCAGCCAGGGCTGCAGAGTTGAGAGTCTGTCCCAAAAAAGAAATGAAAGAAATAAATGTAGGAAGGAAGAAACAAACAGGAGGGAGGGAGTGAGGGAGAGAGGGAGAAGGCAGGGAGGGAGGG